AGAAAAAAAAAAGCAATGACAGAGGAAACAGGTTTATCATCTCTCTGCAGAGCGCCGGGGCTCAGCCGCAGGGGGTTTTCTGAGCCATGATTCAAAACCATGCTGGGCTCCTCCCTGCAGCCGTCAGCCCAGAGAAAGCCCCGTGGTGGGGGTCTGGCAGCCCCATCGGAGTGGGCATGGGAAGCGGGGACTCCCCAACTTCTGCTTTATCCCCTCTGGTGGGTTTGTGAGCTCAGGCGTGACCACAGCCAACCGGGAGCAGCCACATGGGACGCTGCAGGGCTCAGTGCTGTGGGCACGGCCCCTGGCAAACCCCGGGGTACCCCTGCACCCACAGGGGATCCAAACGTTTCCCAAGCTGGGGGAGAAGGGGGACAGGCTTGGGAGGGAGGTAGCACGACTGCTCCTGGGGAAGCAGAGCTGGGGACACGTGTGGGCAGCTGGGTCTGAGGCTGTGCAGAAAGTGCAGGCAGAGCACCCGCAGTGGAGAGGCTGTACCTCACCTCTCCCCAGTGCTGGCTGCAGGGGCTCGGGAGCAGCGGGACCCCCAGGGGCCCCCTGGGGGAGAAGGGGGACAGGCTTGGGAGGGAGGTAGCACGACTGCTCCTGGGGAAGCAGAGCTGGGGACACGTGTGGGCAGCTGGGTCTGAGGCTGTGCAGAAAGTGCAGGCAGAGCACCCGCAGTGGAGAGGCTGTACCTCACCTCTCCCCAGTGCTGGCTGCAGGGGCTCGGGAGCAGCGGGACCCCCAGGGGCCCCCAAAGGGCCCAGGTCTGGGGGGCCAACAGGGACGGAGCGAGGAGGCTGTCGGGGCTGGGTGGGTGCCCCACCAGGTGGGTGCCCTGGGGCTTGCTGAGTGCTCAGGGCTGGGGACCAGCCCAGCTGCGTCATCCTGGACAGGGGGGACGGGAAAGTTTGGGGGTGCGCTGGGATGGGACGCGGCGCTGACTCAGGCCCATGTGGGAGGGCTGGTCCCGGCAGTCAGCTGCCCGCGGGCACCAGCCACGCCCCGC